TATATATATATAGAATTATGTTATATTTGTAGAAAAAATACCAGAGATCAATTCAAATATTTTAATGTAGATAGTTGATATTAAAAATACAACTTCCAACCAACACCTGATAAAACAAATATAAAACCGTGTCAATTGCACCACTGAATGCGGTAACTGGCCGGTACTATTGTTTTATGGAAATAGCATGTAACGAGCGGCCATATTTTCTTGTGACAGCTGTTACACCGCAGAAGCGTGACTGATGTAGCACAAAACATGAAACTCCACTGAATTATTACGACAGTTACCGATTTCGCGACACACGTTACGGTTGCAGAAATAACTCAAATTTCATTTTACGTCGAGTATATACGTCTATAGCGTTATGAGAGTTTGATTAATACAGGTTATTGCACATTTTTTTGCAGAAAACATATACACAAAGAAAATTATGACTTAATAAATGCAGGTCGTATTTTGTAATGAATTGACATAATGCAATATGACATAATATGAAATAATATATAAACAACGTATAATATATCTACTGGAAAAGATTTATTCTGTTCGTCGACATGTACAACAATTAATGTAGCGATGACAATCAACGCAATTACTCAACGAGTAACAGCAGCTAAAATATAATTCTTCGCATGTCCGTATTAATGCCCTTTCTTGAATCCCCAGTGTTTATGGTCTTCATGGCCACCTTTCTTGCCATGATGATGATGATGATGATGATGCTCATCGTGTCCACCATGACTTTTATGACCCTTATGATCATGATGATGATGTCCTTTCTCGTGATGACCCTTTTTGCCGTAATGATCTTCGTGATGATGATGGTCATGATGCCCTTTCTTAAAGTGGCCACCTTTCTTATGTCCATGTTCATGATGATGGCCACCATGTTCTTCGTGATGGCCATGATCATGATGTTCATCGAAGAATTCCTTATCCTTCTTAAATTCGTCGAGTTTGTGAACGTCGTGATGTCCCTTCGTGCTATGGCCCTTCTTGAAATGCCCTTTCTCATGGAATTCATGACCCTTCTCTCCTTTCTCACCCTTGTGGTGTTCGCCATAATAGCCATCGTCATGATGATGATGCTTCTTGTGGCCTTCGTCCTCGTGATAATGTCCAGAATGGCCTCCTTTATCGTGGTGTCCCTTTTCTCCTTTTTCGTGATGATGCTCCGACTTGTAGCCTTTATCACCTTTTCCACCATGATCGTGATGATGACCGGAATGATGCTCGCCCCCGTGGCCGCTTTCATGATGGTGATGAGAAGCGGCTACCTGCAGATCGTCGTAATGCGCCCTGCTGATCTCACGAGCAATAGTCACGTAATGAGAGGCGATACATACTGCCAACAGGCAGATCGCCACCAATCTGTTCATCACGCGTGTTGTGTTTGTGTTCTTGTTTGATCCAATATCAAGAGAGATATTTGACTTCGTCGCTGTGATCGGTAGGTATGATTTAGCTAGTCGTCCCGCTCGGATTATATATCGATCGCAGAATAATCGACATGAGAGTAACCAGAGTTCTTTCTTGAATCTTAGGTCGTTGCGAAAGTTAATGTCTCCTTAACCTGTTTAAATTGTAATGATTTCAGTGAGCCCGCGACAATCGCTCGGGCTATTACATAATATCATTGAAATCGTTGTGCTTACCAAACTACGTTTATAAAGTAAATAATGTATTTTTATCTTTTTTTTAGCCGAACGGTAATACGCTAATTTCCAATAACTTCAATTCAATGGGAGGAATAATATATTTTTATGATTAATATATTTTTTATTTTGAGATGAACGTAGAAATGTAGTATAAATGACCGGATTACCACATGTTAGTGAGTAATATAATTTTTAAAAAATAATGCTTTGATTGACACCAGAAATAAATTGAACGATTGTGAATGAAAGACGGTAAATCGTCCTGTTGTACTGCATCTCGTCCCACCGGTCGTTAAACTGGCAGATAGCTTTTATTTATTTATCAAAAAATTCTATATTAGCTTCATTATTTTAAAAACATCTAACTCGCTCTCTCTCCCTCTTTAACGGACTATTATATTTAAATTAATTGGATTTCGAGGGTTGTAAATTTCCGTTATTTATTTTTAACAAAATGTTCAAAATTAATTGATATAATATTTTTTACGTCATTTAACAAA